CTACTGTAGCCCTAGCGAGGCAAGAGACTAAGCAAAACAATGAGCAATGACATTTAGCCTTGCAGATGATTCACTCTTCAGTCGTCGGAAATGAGACTATCGGCGGTCTTGGCGACAGAAATTTGACGTACAAGCTTGATTTGGGGAATACGGTATTCCAACTAGGGGCCAAATCGCCTTACCTCATGAGCAACCGTTTCCAGCTCGGGTCATTAAACCCTGCTGAATTGGTCCTGCAACCTTGGAGCAGCAAAAAATTCTCGATCATGGGTCGTTTTCCCAAAGCATCCTGTCGACAATGTACCATCACGTCAGCGATTTTGCCAGAAAGAGCGACGCATGGCTTATGCCGAAGAGGTGGAACGGAGCGCTGCGTGGCTATGTAATGGAAATTTTGAAGCACTACTACAAATTTAGCCTCGCGTCTTGTGAAACCTTTATTATGTGGGGATTTGCTAGAGTGGGGTTGATGTTCTTATAGTCCCTCTTCGCAAATACGCCCCCCCCCCTCTTCGAGAGTATTCCTATGCGTCTACTACAGCTTTTCAATGAAGTGGTTCTTCGTATTGGCTGTGTTGTTGCAATAACACTTTCTTAGCTATCGTTTGGTGCCGACAAGCCAATAAAATCGCTTTATTGATCGATTTTTTGTGGTCTTGTCAGGGTTTTCAGGCGCCGCGTCAGAGATAAGCGATCGTAAAATGAAATGTGTCTGTCGGTTTAGGCCAGCCTTAACATCGGCGCCGTTCTGGTGGCAAAGAGAGGACGACGTGATGGGGGAGGAATATTCGACGACCCCTCTTCTCCTTAGGCGGGGGAGGGGGAGCGTGGAATCGATGTGCAAGTCATGGTGTTGTACCGGTTCAAGAGGGATAAAGTCGACCAGTTTCTTGTCTAGGAGTGGGTGAAAAATACCCTAGGGTAGGGGCTTGGATCACGGTCAATCTTCCGTTGTTCCATTACCAGAAATTTGACGACCCCCTCTCCTTCTTAGAGCACGGTTTCGGTAGGACCCCATCACCGCCATCAGTCTTGGGGTTCTTCAACACGGCGCCCATACTGATCACTATATTCGATTCTCGCTCGGACCAGCCTAAACACGACCTCCTTCTCCTGCAACCGCAACCTCGTCAAATCCCATCCTCAATCTTCTTTTTGACCGCTTATCCTCTATCATACCCAAATACCACCCTCCGTCTAAGAAAATCTCAAATGACTCCCTCCCTTTGGGTACTGCGCAACGTACGGTTGACCCTTTTTGGGATACTTAACACACCAACGTCGCCCCATTTCTCCAAAATTGGCATCATTGGCGTAAAGTGAAGGTATGTCAGCTTGTCGGGCAGAAATGCTCTACACATCACAAATACAACACCAATTCCAAAATCACAAACACGGCCCACTCGTTCGCAAAATCCAAAAGAGCGGCTTACCCTACCGATTACTATGTCAACTGAATATTTATCGACCATTAGACGCCTTTCGCTTCCTCACGCGGAAAAATTTGACGGTTTCCCCTTGCTAGGAACTCACTTGTCATATTTACAGTACTCCCAAATAAAATTTGCAGAGCTGCAGCCATAATGTTAATAATCTTCATCAAAAAGCTCAAGTAGCAAAAATTTTGTCCTTGCCACCTTCGCAAACGCTTCAAAAGCCAAATATAAGTGTCATTTACCGCTTCCCTCCCCCCCCCCCCTCCCCTGGGCATCACTTTGTACTTGAAGAAGTCCGCATCGTCCGGGGTCATATGACCTTGCCTCTCATCCAAAGAATAATCAGACGTCGGCATTCGGAACAGTTTTCAGAGAAACAGTGGGCGTTCGTCTATTTCGGCCTAGGCCGTCTAGTTCGCTCATATTCAAAGGGTCCGGACTCGACTAAAAAAAATGCTTCTTGTATTAATATATGCTAATACGTTTGCTGTATTTCAGCCAGTGCCATATGAAAGTGGAATTGCCAGCGGTTTCCCGATTGACAAGACTTTGCTGATCTTCGGCACCGTCGAAAAGAAGGGCAAGCGCTTCAATATCAATCTTCTCAGGCGAAACGGTGACATCGCACTTCACTTCAATCCACGATTTGACGAGAAGGTACGGTAGATATTTGGTATACGGTAGTTGATTAGTAGTGTAGTGAGTGTATACTTTGAATTTTCAAAGGTTTTTCTATAAAAGGAGTAATTCCAGGCGGTGATCAGAAACGCTCTGGCAGCCAACGAATGGGGAAATGAGGAAAGAGAGGGAAAGATGCCGTTCGAGAAAGGAGTTGGTTTCGATTTGGCCATCAAGAACGAGCCCTACGCCTTCCAGGTTTGTTCAATTCCAGCTGCTTGTCGTTTGATCGTTTCTGGAGAAATTTGCAAAAGTTATTCTATTAAGAACAACTACTAGATATGACTGTAGGTCCATAATATCTGAGCTAATGTAGTTGGAGGGGGCAGTCGCCACCGCTGTGCCGTCTTTTTAGCGCCTTTTGGTGCAAAACGAGGGTTCCGTGAGCTACGTTAGTTTGAGGGGCACGAAGCGGCGCGGTACTCTGTTCGTCTGCGCCTCTAAGGGGTCGCTACTATTTTGCTGCCATGGAGCAGCCTCGAGATACAGTGCACTGACTGCTGAGAGAGCGCAGACGAACAGAGTGAGCGCCGCGCAGCCTTGTGCCCCCTCCCGCGGCCATGTTAACACCAAAGCAACGTTCAGTATTTTCCAATTTTATTGATTTATCGATTTTTTTCAGATCTTCGTGAACGGAGAGCGTTTCACGTCGTTTGCTCATCGTCAAGACCCCAACGATATCAGTGGTCTGCAGATCCAAGGCGATATCGAGCTGACCGGCATCCAGATTCAGTAGATCGTCGTTGTCGCCGCCACCGCAGCCGCCGCCGCCGCTGTCACGACTGTGTCCCGCCTGCTGTGCTCGCATGCGCGCTTCAATCGATGACTTATTAGTGACTATGGTGATCAATCAATATATTATACAATCAATATACCCGCAGTTCATTCATTTTAATCACATTTCTATTCATCACCATCTGTTCGTCATCGTTAGCTGATAGTAGCCGTGACGGTTTCTTGTGTGGTTTTATTATCGTCTTCTCTTCCTTTTTTGTTCTCATTTTTATGCAGTTTTCCTTTTAATCGATCAATATTCGTTTTTGTAATGTTTTCAGTAATTTTCATATGTTTTTAATGATGTTTCGCTAGCTTTTTGCATGGTTTATAAAAAATATTGGAATTTGATGTGTTCATGGCATGCGGTTGGTCTTGAACAGAAATCCGGCATACTGTAGCGATGCTATGGCTGGCGATTTAGCGGCGTATCTGCTATGTCAACTACGACACAAAAAGTCAAATTTGGCCTTCGTCTGGCCATAAATGTCACGTGATAAACTGTAATATCGCAGCCGCGCTAAAAATTTCCCTGCCTCGTGGTAAAAGTAAATAAATAAATAAAACAAATGAATAAATAAATAAAAAAGTGCAGTTTGATCATTTAAGCGAGATGGCAACATCAGGAAAATCTCAAAATGTGGCACTTGTTCCTGCCCTAGTCAGCTACCGCTCGCGCAACCGCTTTGCAGGTATGTCACTTTTGTAGTACAGACATCTAAAGCATCTCTGAATTATACGCAGTGTGTGAATTCAAGTGAATTTTTGTAAAAGACTGTGAGGTTTCAAAAGTCCTGTAGTCACCGGCAGTCCTAATTCCTACTCATAGCTGATTGTGAGTGATGACCTTCCTATTTTGGAAGCCTGCAAAATTCGTTTCCGGCATACTTATTGATCGGTGTAGTGCTTTGAAGACACTTTACACAATCAATAAATTCAGTAGGTGTAGATTACTACGTCCGAAAAGTAAGCAGGCGTGAAGGCTTACACTTCATGAAAGAAAGCGCCTAATCGCCAAGACTCTTGTGAATCGCTTAGGAGATTAGATTATAATTTATTTGATTAAATTTTTATTATGTTTACACTAGCTTTAGAATAGGATTTTCCTTAGGGCGGTGTTTGCGGACGCCTACTGGGAGAGTCTCAGGAGGTGGCCTCACTCTACCGTACTTTGAATGACCGTATGCTACTACACCAAGGTGTGAACCCCCAGATGATTTCAAGATTTATTAACAGTTCTTTTTGCTTTTATCTGAGCACTTTAGAGACCAATTACTACATCTACTTTCACTTTTGAGCAGAATAACCCTTCCTTTTCTCACAAATTTAAAGGAATCTTGCGCGGAAAATTCTTGCACTCTTTCCTAACATGAATATGTCAGTTGTGATCACTGGAAATAGCACACAAAGTTTCACGCATGAAGATTCGGTTTCTGAAGAGAAACAAACGTACAAAAACTACACGTTATGGACCATCGAAGGACCAGGAGGCAGAGCCAGGCGAGGCATGGAAAGAAGACGGCGTTTGGCCGGCTACGTACCAGGCGACGCAATGAGAGAATCGGGTTAAAGCGCGCGATTTCGGAGAGTGGAGACAAATCGATCGATGGAATAGGATGGAGTAGAAGTGTAAGATGTGAATGCAACGAAGCAGAAGGCCAGAAAGAGCTTCTAGTGAATGCACTCCAAGAACCAAGTTTGAGCATCCCCGTCGCCAGCATTCGTGAAAGACGTCCGTGGGCAATTCGAACGCGTAGCAGCCTTTTCGAGTTTTCGAATTTCTAATCAAAACGAAAGCAATACTTCAGTTCTTTTCACTATTATCGTGGATAATGAGTCTCAAGCCAGTGATTTATGGCTGAAATAGAATCATGATTTTTCCGCGCAAGATTCCTTTAAGGTAGTGTAGGTGCTGGCCTCAAGTGCGTGCCTTTATAAAGCGTGGTGGTTTCCTCAATTTTCTAAGCACGAAGAGAAACTAGGCACAGAGGAGAGAAAAAAGACTTGGGGGCGAGAGAGCATAATGAACGAGAGAGATGTAGACATCAATATTCGTGACTGTGCATCGGTGCAAGCCCTGAGCCTGCAGCTCCCTTGTCAAGCGTATTGGACTGCAAGAATGACTATTTCTTCGAGTAAAAACCGTGATAATCAATGCACAAAGTTCCAGTGAGCAGCTGCAGACTATGCCATAAGTTCAAAATTGAAACGCCGCATACAAAACCCTCTTCTGGGAAGTTTATTTGCAGCTATGCAATTATATGCTCACCTTTTTGTAGTAGCACTTACCTCGTCACGTCGTATGGGTTATGGGTCATACTGTGATGCGTATAATCGGCGCATTGACGCAATATTTCTCAGGAAAATTCTTGAACTGAAGTGCGCAGTAAATTAAATTGTTTTCCCACCTCGTTCGAGTCTTCTCTTCCGTGTTATAAGATGAGAATTGATTTACGCGCGTACAATTTATCCATTTTCTACGTTCCCTTCTCAATTTAGCCCGATTTCCGCGAAACCCTCGAAATATTAGCAGTACTCCGAAGTGGGGTCGGTCCACTCGTTGGTACTTTTTGAAAAATTTTCACGACTCCCCTCCTTCATTTAAGAATTCATACAACTCCCTCCTCACAACTTTTCTTTCCCTTCTTTTTCCCTCAAAAACAACCGTCGGGGGAGGGGGTATACGCACGGTGAAACGGCAAATTTTCTCCCGCGCGCTCTCACCTGATTTGATCCTACCGGAGCAAGTACGACCCCCCCCTCCGTTGGTACTTGTCCCAACGTAGGGTTGACCCTGCTCCGAGGGTGTTTGTCAACGCCGGCCATGTTATTGTTATAATTTCTATTCTCACAGTTCAGAATGAGCGCTAATAATATGCGCTAGTGTTATTTGGATTTTCCATACAAAGGCCGGAGCCATGTGATCGCCGTGGTGGCCACAACCTTCATTGCTGCTCAACATTTTCGATCCTTTTGTAGGATCACTTGTAATTTCTGAGGTTTCCTTTAGGTCATTTCCGTCGGAAAGCTTTTTGTCTCTATAAATCCAATAAGTAAACTAGAGTGTTTTTCTAACTCATTGGGCTTATCTGTCTGCGTTCATTGAAATGAGTAATGATTTACGCGCGCAACACGCCTCATGCTTTTCTGTGCTCCCCAGTCGGATTGCAGCCAATGTTTACAACTCACTATCAAGGATTGAAGTCAGTAGACGCAGGAAAATGATTTTCGATGGGAAAGGAGCATAGTGGTGCCTAAAGGGTTGAGCAGAAGAGTGTACCAGAAAACAGCCTGGCAATTCGCCCAAACCAGATTTTTGTTCCCCCCCCCCCCGTTATTTGGCCGCTATAGTGGCCACATCGATGCTGACGTAGTAACGTGAACGCCTCTGCTCTGTCTCTCTGCCAAAACACGACGCAAGGAGACCGGCAGCTGGAAGCGTCGGTAGGCGTGGCAGAGGACAGGAGTCGGGAAGCGGACAAGTACGCCTTTTCCTAAGCCTCAGGAAACGCTCTTGAATACGACATGGTCTCCACAATGAGTTTGCAGGGTAGCCGATGCACAACCAGTTTCTCCCCACAAGCATATCTGGAATCAATATCCGTCCCGGTGGAAATGGAAGGCTTGGTTAGTCTGAGCGATACTCATCCTGTACACATGTACCATGCCGGTTTGGTCCATGCGTCCAGGACGGTCTACCTTCTAGTACACCACCACTACTGCACGGGAGTTCATCAGATTTTTCAGCGTTGAACAAAACCAATATCTCTGTCCTTCGCTAATCTCCAACATTGTCGTATCTTTCCAGCCGAATTTACCCTTGAAGACGAATTTTGAAAAAGCTTAGTTCTTGGAAAGTGAGGCAGTAGAGGGAAGTGCCGACTTCCTCAATAACGAACACCTGCTTCGCCTATTACCTTGATGGCTCTAATAAGCTATAAGAGTTCAGTCAAGCCAGTTCTCCATGCTGTCGTTGCTCATGACTGCTCTCAAATGATTGTATAGCTCTACTTCAATATGAATTTGTTCTCCGCGAATGATTTTTTGTCGTTCTCACCACATTGTGAGCCACTGATGTGAATGCTGAGACGTGCATGTCTAAACTATTGCCTTATACAAAGGCTTCTCAAGCCTCAGTTACTGTATCATAACTGACCTGGAGTGGCACTGTTCTGCTCTTGCGGTGGCGGGCTGGACGAGTTTATTACCCTTGTTCGGGGTTTCCGGTTATTCCTCCGAATGTTCTTTCAGAAACGCTAGGGCAGAGTCATCCTTCACATTCGCCTTTTTCAAAATTATGCGATCCCCCCCCCCTTTACGGAGGGCTCGATGCGAGGCTTATCACCATGCTGTTTTTACAGTATCTGATTCTGATACCAGTCGACACAGCCCAACTCCGCCTACTTTCTTCTCCTGAGCGGCCGTCGAGTGGGGGTTAAATTGACAGCAAACCCACCAGTTTACCTAATTCTCACTACTTTCGTAAAATTTTCACCGAATTCGTCAAAAAAACCCGTCCAAACACAACCCCCTTTAACGACCTCCGTCAACCTCCGTTCCCACTATGATAACCTTGCTCAACCCCAAAATGCGACCCTCTCTTCCCAAAATCACAAATGCAGCCCCCTCGCTCGAATGTTACGAGAACGGTTGACCGTGCGCTAGAGAGAGCAGGCGTTTGGAGGTTCAAGGTACAGCTCTCAAACTTTGAGCCACGCTCAGGCCTCTTGAAGAAGGCGTTCTAACGTCAGGTCACTAGTCAGTCCTACCTGGAAACCTTGTTGTCAGAAGAAGAACAATACATTTACAGTAATACTCAGGCTCTACGGAAACGAGAAGGTGGTATTAACTTTGGGGGCGTGGCCTAAATTTGTTCACGGAAAATGTGTTAAGAACCGCAATCAATGTGTGGCTCCAAATTCCCTACTTTTCTTGTACAAACTTTTACAAGGTAGTCTGCAG